TTTGATTTATGATCTATGGAGTATGATGTGTGTGTATGACTCCGGTGTGCCGTTTTGCCGAATGAATCTAACAAAATACGGCACATATTTGACCGTGTGATTTTTTTCTTCCACGAAAATGTCAATTTGCCGTCCAATGCAAAATGAAATCGAGAGAGGCGAATTTTTCGGCGTATAATGAGCGCGAGCGCGCTCATGCTAACCCACCACCGCGCCTCATTCATGTCATTGATTTTTGCCAGATTTCTTTTGTTCAATTCCACCAAGCAATTCAAATCATTTTCGCGCTTGCCAAACAAAAGGCTCTCAATCGAATGCCAAACAACTTGCGCGAATAAAAGCGCAAGAACACACACAAAAAACTCGGAGACATACTCCTCAGCACAAAATCTAATGCACAAAAATAATAATTACAACAAAGAGAAGAAAGGAAAAAAAAACTCCGTTCATTACTTTAATTTTCAGGTGATTATTCATTTTAAGTGTACACGATTAATGTGCACATATAAATGCAAGTAACGACAAACGAGTGAGCGCTGGCGCGAGCACACACGGTCACAGCACACACCAATTGTGAAAAGAAGAGAGAAAACGCAAAAAAAAACGAGAAATAGAATTTGCAACAAATAAAATACAACGACAAACAAGATACACCGTATTCGTATGTATTTCCATGCAAAGAGCATAATTTTTCTTCTCGCACGATCATAAAATCCATTAGCGCAAAGAGGCTGGAGCGCTGAATGAACGACCGAACTAACCACGATTCTACACGGCAAAAAAGCAACAGCCACCATAACACATCCATAGGAAAAGATAGAGACATAATAACGAATCCACATTCAGCCAACCAGCCAGCCCAGCCCAGCCAAACAAAACAAAAATCCACTCATTTAACTATTCATGCAATTTTTTTTAAGTAATTCATTAACGTCAAACTCACAACAATAAAATTAAAAATTATTCTTCTTTTTCTTGTTGTCTAAATATATTTCGCCTAGATGTTATTTGAATGTTTGCGCTTCGTTTTGATGTAACTGAAAATGAAATAAAAATTGTCTAAAGAAATAACAAACGTTACATATGCGCGCAATCATTCAAAATATGGATAGAGAGAAGAGTGAAAAAAAAACAGCAACGTGAAATGAGTTAAGTGGAGAAAACAAAAAGAAATTATGCTCACACTTTAATAACTTATTTTTCACAAAAATCCGCGCTTTTTTCATACACACACACACACACGTATTTACAATTCGGATGTTCATGCCGTAGCGGCAGCAGCAGCAATTGTGCTGTGGCAATTTCAGCATAGAAGAATAATGATAAAGAAATCGCTGATGCGAAAGCGAAGGCAGTAAACATAGAAAATATATGGCGCAGATGGTGTTGCTGTTGAGATGCCAGAATGTACAGTTGAATGCAATGAATGATAACTCAATTTTCATTCATTTTTGCTGTGTGATAAAAAAAAAACTTCACTTTTTCTTCTCGCACATTTGCTAACGTTCTTTTTGTTGCAAGTCTTCGGGGTTACACGATCCATTTTTGTCGTAGTGTCAATCAAAATGTGGTGGTATTTCTTCTTCTTCTTCTTCTTCTTCTTTGCTTCTGCCACATGCAAACACCAATTCGATTAATGATGTTCGTTGTGCAATTGCATTGCGCAGAGAAAAAAAAAGCAGAATTACGTTCGAAAAGCATGCGACACGTATTTTGTCATCACACGGATCGTGATCCAATTGAAAAGTGCGATAAAATAATTTTTCACAGAAAATTAATGTGTTTTTCGCTCGAAATCGATCTAATCGCGCGCGCGAGCGCGTCCGCCCATATGAAGAGACTGTGGCGTTACTGATTGATTTTTCCTTTCTTCAATCGAGCGCGTTCCTCATTTGATCGAATGAATTTGCCGTAAACGAATCGATTAGCTGCACATTGCCGACGGTGGTACAAAAGATTTCAATCTCATAATAAACGACGAACTGTCAATTAGTGCACCGCATACAGCATTTTTCTGCGCGTTGCTCAATCTCATCCAAGTCGCAAAGAGAGAGAGAGAGAGAGAGAGAGAGAGAGAGAGAGAGAGAGGAAAAAGAAGAGCAACAACGAATTGACTGTGTTGAAAATGTCAGTGCATCATCTCAAAAGCCCATCAAACACGAAAAAAAAACATGTGTACTGAGTCGGCGCAAAATTTCGTCGCTAATTCGTTGATTTGCCAAGCACAGGCAACGCGAGACGACAGACGAGAGCGCCGTGTGTTACTTAGTTAGTCAAGTCAGAAAGAATGATGATGTAGTTTTTTTCCTTCATTTCTGAGTCAGAGGAGTGACGCGAATACGCAATCGTCATTTATAATCGATTAAACCAAACACAAAATGCAATCAACAATGAAATCGAAACAGATTATCCAGCGCACAACGGAACAACAATACTCAAGCGATAGATACTCGATGTGAAAATGGTATGTGTGTGTGTGCATTGCATTTTGTTGACGATCAAGAGAGTACAATGAACGATGAATCTATTTAAAACCGATGCGCATTCCATTCGTGTGTCGATCGATGTTATTGTTGCCGTCGTCGTCGTCGAGTTTTGTGGTCGCTGATTCTTTTTCCCGGTTTGTCGATATTGTCATAAAAGTCATTATAAATAAATTATGATTAAATGGAAGTTACGTTACACTACGAAAGACAGCCAGACAATTATCGTCAGTTTTATTTACTGCGACGGTGAATGAAAAAGACTCCAAATCACCATTTTTCCAGCATTTGCAGTTGTGCAAAAAATGTTTTGCTTACAATAAATCTTTGAGTGTTTTGGATTTTGTTTTTTTTCCTTCGCGTTTCGAGTTGTTGTGGTTGTACTGACCTAAGATGAATTCGATGTTAATGTCTCTTGCGATGATTGATGGCTTGATTATTACATATTCTCGTCAATATATTCGATGTGCAAAGAATTGGCAGAGAATTTGGTAAGGTGCGAACTCGAATCGCACTTGCATTTTGACACAAACACAACACACACACCAACATGAATTTATTAAGTTTTTAGGCGATTTTAACAGCGATTCTTTTTTGTCTGACGGTCTGCTATGCCATGTAACACCATTTGAAAACAATAAATTATTCTCGTCCGCAATCCGACGAGAACTAATTTGGCGTCAAAAATTAACACACTCACGGCAAAGAAAAAACGATTGAAAAAAAAATCGCACACTGCACAAAATCCAAATCGAATCGCGTCTGGCTGATTGAGAAAAATGAAAACAATTTCGGAATTTAACACACATGCCAAGCAACAATGCCAATTACGATATATAACAATATTGATGCATTTTTTTTTCTGTTTCGTTGGCTCAAGTCATTGCATTCGACAATCAAACCGGGTTCAAACTGACCATAAACACATTGGAAACGGAAAATACACACAGTGACAGATAGAAACACACACACGAATGCATTTACGCATACAACGATCATGTTAAACAGCTGGCCGCAAACGATTCGCAATAGATAATTGCAATTATCGTAATTAGTTATATATGTCTATGTTTGTCTCCGGACGGTTTGCTGTTGGTTTCGGTGCTCTGGCATCGAAACCGATAACATATACAACGAACAGCAAACGCTTCCATGCGAAAATATATAATAACAATAATGAGTGGCGGCGAAGCGCATAAGCCAAATGATTTTGCCTTTTTTTTCTCTCTCTTCTCTCCACACCGCTTTGCTTTTCTACAGAAATAATAACGAAAGAAGAGAAAAAAACGCATTGGTTTTGCATCGGGCCGTAGAACAGAAAAAAAACCGAATGGAAAAAACAAAATCAGAAATATTATGCTCAAGTGTGCAAGTCGATTGCAACATACCAGCAAATATAATTGTTTAATAATAATACATCAAGTGTTCCATTGATAGAAGAACCGAAAACCAAAAACAAAAACGTTGTAAATATTTGTGCGATTTGATTTCGTGTGTGTGTTTTTTCTCTCTATATTTTCGTCATGTTCTGTGTACAATTTATGATTCGTCATAATTTGTGTTCAACTTTGATTTCATTTTCAATTGGCAATCATCGAAGGGCTTGCGACGAACAAATATATATGAAATATCTTCAAATATATTCAAATATGCCAAATATTTCAAATATTGAAGCATTATTTATTTACAAAATGCATCTTGATATTTCGTATGTTTGACATATTTGGCTATATTTCAAATATTTCATATAGATTAATATTTCAGGCGTCGCAAGCCCTTCGGCAATCATTTCGGTTGAAAATTGCGTCTGGCGTCAATTGCAAAAAAATTGAATTATTTCTTCTAGAATTTCGTTTCTTTTGAAATTCACTTGTTCGCGTGCATGCTTACGAAGTGACAAATGTGCGGTATTGGAATTTAACGGTTTCATTTCGAATTTGGTTGCTTTTTTTATGCGTACAATGTATGCCGTTCATTCATTTGTCACCAAACCAAATGGAGGTGGTCTGAATGATTATTGTTTTTTTTCTACATTTGGTTCGTGCGTCCATCCACTTAAAGTTCGATAAGAACTCGCATTTAAAAGAAATTAGTGAAAATGATTGAGAGTTTGGCCGCCATTAAATTAGACCTAATGGCAAAAGATAAATCAAAATGGCGATCCATGGCAAAGCCATAGACAGATCGAGATAAGAACGAGGCAAATATACCGTTAGACAGCTGAAATTAATCTTTAAACAACGAAACGCACGACGACTAAATGCATCTTCGTCGCTTTTAAAATACATGTTTTATTCATTCCGATGAAACTGTTTTTTTTTGTGTCTAAATTTAGCCGAAAAAAAAATCTGTTCAAAATATTGCGAAAACATCATCCATTTTGATGATATCGACCCTTTTTTTATCATATGGTAATTTAGTTAAAGAATCGAATAAATATCAAAAACCTTTTTCAAGATAAATAAGAAGCGAAACGAAAAGTTGATATTGTTTTTGACTATTTTTAGTGTCACTTACCAGTAAATGAAATTGGTTACGTTGAATCGGCAAATTGTCATTGTCTTATTTGACGCATGCACCGTACGACGTTTCAGTGGTTAAATGTCAATTTGAAAAACAAAACGTGCAACTTTGATCATGTCAGATAAAACTACACTTTGAACTTGGATTTTTCTTTTCACTGTCTATTTCTCTCTCTCTCTCTATTTATGTGTACTGTCAACTCTCGGTGTTGGGATTTTTCCTTCTCTTATTGCATTTGTTGTTGTTGTTGTTCACACACATGCAAAATGTGTTATTGTCTATGAATAGGCATTGAAATTGAATTCGATGTTAACGATGTGTTATGCGGTTAGGCTAGGGGGGGCCTGAGTGTGCTTTTGCTGAGTAGTGCATAAATAAAAAAAATAAATTCGGGTTTCGGTCATTGATTGCAGGAAGTTTCAGTTGGTGATTTTATGGCGACTCAGTTAAGTGTTGATGCGGTAGGTTTTTTCTTCTTTGCATGCATAATCAAAACGGCGCTGTTGCTGCTGGTGTTGATTTCGACCGCAATATCGTTCCAGTAGATATGCTAATCAATTTTCGTATTTAGTGAAATTAAGGCGAGAATTTGTGGCGATTGTTGCAGCAGTTGTATGGCGGCGTCGAAGATTCTCGGATGGATTTCTGTGTGCACGTTTTTCCTTCTTTTTTGCAGCTCAATAATTCACACTTGGCTTGATTATTATAATGATAATTGCATGTGGCGATATTCTTGAGCGTTAATTTTATGCTTTTTTTCTCTACGTCTCTTTTTATTGTGTTATAGTTTAGGGATCTCTCTATCTCTGTTCGCAACGCTTTCACATAATTAATTAAGATACAGAAGAGTATTTTGTACGCGGTGAGACTGATGCATTACTATGTGGCTGAAATTCGTATTCGATGCTCGGGTGTTGATTGCTCGGGTTTTTTTCTCTCTTCTCATTCCAAACAAATTCGTTAAGTCAGCGGAGCAAGCGCGTGAGTGAGTGTGTGTTTGTATGGTGTGGCTGATTTCAATGTGCAGAGAGAAAAAATTAATTTGCTTTAGCTTTTTTTGTTCTGCACATTCGTCGATGGATATGGATTCGAAGGCGTGTAGAGCACTAAAACACTTCACTTAATCCCGTTTCGAGAGCGCACGCGCACCAAAAATCCACACCGAAAAAAAAGCAGCAAATTTATTCGCAACGAAACAGAAAATCCGATAATTTTCGTAGTTTTATTGCTTTTGCGCAAACAGCAATGTGATGATTATATGCACAGATCGGAACGTGTTGCTGTTAAATTGCTTGCGAAATTTTCTGCTTCTATTGTCTTTTGCATTTGGCTGAAGCCAATTTTCTACTCTTCAGTTTCAGTTGATGTGTTTTTTCCGCGGCTTGTGATAAGCGACTCAACTGTTGCATGCGCTGATAAAAGAAAATAGGTAGCGAATGGCACAGCAACAACGGCGGAACTTAAAATTCAATTGGTTACGTTGTGCATCCGGTTGCGATGACGATGACGACGACGACGACGACAGTTTTTTTTTGTATCGATTGTTGAAGTAGAAAATCAACGTACGAAAAAAAAATATTCCGCACGAATTCCGTATTAAAAGCACTGACTGTTCCACTCGTATTGGTTCGTTGCTGCATATAACTTCATTTACGGTTTTCTAAATTGGTCTCCGAGTAAAAATCCTAATTACTCATCCTACTCAAAAACAAATCTCTCTCTCAACACCGATTTGTCTTCAATCAACACAAACAATCACAACAAAAGTATCGTGTTTTTTTTCTCTCTTGTCTCACTGAATTGAATTACTTGCTTTTTTGTCACTTGACGTCATTTCTTCAAATTGGCAAAAAGAGATGCTTGATTCTTTTTTTCTTCTATTCGGTTCGGCGCATGGGCGGTTCACAAGTCACAAACAAAACATAAGTGAGTGTTTTTTTGAGTGTTAATGTTTCTAAGAGATTTTCTTGCTCTTTTTCTCTCACTTTCAGCAAATTGTTTTTCAATAATTTTAATTAAACAATGTCTAATAAAGCACTACCGTTATGCAGCGTAAACCGTTTTTTTTGTTCGTTGCTTGTCAACAGCATAAATCTCTTCGTTTCAAATTGGAAACGAAAGAAGGGAAAACACAAGCGGCGCCGATAATTTCCTTGGGAAGTTTACGACGTTTTTTTTCTCTCTATCTCGATTTAATCACCCAAATGACACTGGCTAAAAATAGTGACTCACTGTGCGGAGAATTTCTTAAAATGTCTCTTTATTATCAAAATAATGGTGATCATTAAGACGGCGTAATCTCAAACCGACTGGTTGGTCTTTAATATGTGGGTTTATGTTGGTGGCTTTTATTACCCAAAAGGTCAGCAATTCTTCTTCTCTCTATCTCATGTGTATGTCGTTTTCAACAGCATGGAAAAAAAGTCACCGCTGCAATTTGTCATCGATTTTTATGTGTGCTCGGTCACACTCGGAAATTCTTGTTTTTTTTATTCAATTAAAGTGTTTATGATTGGGGATCCATAGCAGAGCATTAAAAACATTGATGATGAACTCTTGGCTTTTGCGCGCACCAACTGAGCATAACAATGAAATCAGCAATTACTGCTTTATGTTTATCATCAATTTCTGCAAAAATCACTGTTCATTTTCTCACATCGAATATTTATATAAAAATGTTCACAATACACACGCACCATATGCAATATTATAATAATCATTCACCATTAAAATTTGCTGTTTATTCGCAAGGCGTCGGCAATTCTCGAATTACATGAATGAGTAAAAGCAACGACTGACTGGGCAAGAGAGACGATCCAAACAGATAAATTGATTGCAATTAAGTCGATGATATTTGCTATGGTGTACAGCACTACGTCGTCGTCGGTGGTGGCGGCGACAGTGGCTACAACTCGAAGATCGTTTGCAGCTAGAAAAAGAACGCAGCTGATTCGTTTTAGTGGAAAAGCCTGAATGGTGTAAGCGCACGGTTCGCCACGGTGAACAGAACAGAACGGAGCGTTCGGAGTGTGTGCGAGACAAGAAAATGGGTTAGCACAGCTATGACCTATATCGGTGTGCGACTCGTTTGGCTTCAACTATACTAGCGAGATAGATCAAGTTTTCAATACACGTTTTTCCGTCTTTGATCGCGTCATCTATCACGAACACGGTGCAATTTTATCGTCACTACTACTTTGTGTACGCTGTTCGAATTCGATCAATTGGATTTTAACAGTTTGTTCTTTTTTTTACTTCTTCACATACACAAAACGAACAAAAAAAAACCAAATATTCTGCTTTTAATTTGTGCTATTTATTCCGTAGACGTACACCTTTTACGATCTCTCAGGCACTGTTTTTATTGTCGTCGTATTTTATTTTCTCGTTCAAATTGTAGTTAATTTTCGTTGATTTAACTCCAAGAATTTCTACGATCCGGTGTATTCGATGATTTAGTTCGTCAATTTAATTGACACAACAACAAATTTTACAATAAAAAATAAAAAAAAATTCTAATAAAATAAACAAACGAAAAAATGTACAAAAATCTTTATAACAATGGAGGAAAAACGTTGTTGCTGGCGAGGCATGGATCGCGCGTGAATTATGCCACCAAACGAGAAAAACACTAACGTTACTGTTAGCGTGTACCTCTAGACTGAGTGACCGAATAAAATCGCATTTTCATCATCATCAACATCATCATCCACAATGAGCAAGCGATCGAACAAGCAGCCGCTTTGCTGCTGCTGCTGCTGATGTACAGTTGTATACCTGTATGTTTCGCGTGCGAGTGAGTGAGCAAGCGAGCGATCGGTTCGCATGTTTCCTATGTGTTTTGTGTTGCCAGAGCCAAAGCATAGCTCTCAATCAGGCGGTGTGTACGAGCGCACACCTATGCAATGTTGGTTGGTCTTGAGATCGCATACGTACACCGTTTGGGCTGCTTTTTTGTATGCGCACCGTTTCGCCGTTCTGTTTGTCTTTTACCAAACACTGACAACCGGAGTGCTTTTTACCACTTTTTCTTTTTCTCTTTCGTCCACATCATTTTGCATGCATTATCGTCGAGTTGGGTCTATAATATTTTATGTTGTTGGAGCTGTTTTGCCTGCTAGTAGTTGAGTAAAACTAACACACGACTCGCATACACACACACACACACACATTGCCAAACGAATCAGAACTTGTTTTATTTTACACCATCGCACACATACAGGCTCTGTATTTGCGGCGTTGCTAGCTTAAATCGGCGTTTCTCTGTAGCTTTCGAAGCAACAACGGTGTGCAAAAAATACATAGTTGCTGTTGCTTGTTATTTTTTAATTAAATATTCTTGTCGTAGTCATTTGGATTTGGTTTATGTTCACAAATGCAGGATTTATTGTTCTTGTTTGATATTATCGTCGGTGGCGATCGAGCGAGACGGAAGTAGCGCATAATAATTCATTAGCATTTATTGAGAGAGAGAGAGAGAGAGAGAGAGAGTGAGTGAGTGTGTGTGGTGCACTGCACACCGTTGTCGTTTGGGCGTCTCGGCTTAATTATAATTATTTTCATAAATTTCCTTCCTTTATGAATTATTTGTCCTCATTTTCACTTAAATGGTTCCACATTCCATACACATACACACCATACCAACTGAAATTGACAACATCTAAAAACACACCAAACCCAATGGAAACAATAGCAGAGCTATTTTTTGTTTGTTTCTTCCTTTGATTTGTTAAAGGCTCTGAACTAATTTTTCTTTTTGACTTTTGAAAACTAATCCAAAATTACCAAACAAGCCCAAACAATGAAATTAGTCAAGCAACGTATCAACACGTGGCTTTTCAATAAATCGATTGAAATGGCGTTTCAATGCTGAAATCAACCGTATGCACATGATGTGCTTTGCTCGACAATTACCACTGAATCAATACAATATTCAGGGGCGGCGCGCGTTCGTACATTATTATATACGTATTGCCGTAGATTATAATTAATTTATAATTACTGATACATTGTGTTCATCTAATCGCATCTATATATCGAGTGGATTTGTTTTTTAGCCGAACCAGTCAAAGAGCGAGCAAACAAAATGCACGCTTTATAAGGCGATATATGTATCATATTTTAATGCGCTACGAAAAACGCAAGCGTCTACGAAGAAAATGAACAAACGTGTGCATTTTGTGTATGGCATTTAATCTTGATTTTGTCATTTGATAACTCGACTTTTCAAAATATTTTGAGCATAAATTGTCGATTTTTCGCGAGGGTTCAAATGTTTGCCGGGCTTTATGTGTTTATGGTACGGTTCGTTCGTTGGTTCGTTCATTCGGCTTGTGCCGTTGAGTTTTATTTTGGCGTTTTAAGTACTCTATTTTCATTGAATTTGGTTTGCATTCCGGTTTTGGATAATTTATTCATCTCCGATGAAGTTTGATTTTGTGCTAACGGTATTTTTTTTAATCAAGCAAGTAATTTATTCCACCTGTGTGTTATGTTATACATGTACTTTTGTGTGTGCGCGTGAGCGCTAGTCGAAATGGAAAAATCCCAAGCGCGATAAATTTGATAAAAACGTAATGGTTTGGATTTTTTTTTTGCGTTGATTTTTTGGTCTCTTGAGGCAACAACAACAACAACAACAAAATAAGGCTATACGATTATCATAATGAATTTATCTCGCAAGAGCACAAAAATTAAATGTGGTGGCACAAAACTAATTAGCAATTATTCCGTATCGATTGGGCTAGTTCTGGGCTCTCTGTGTGTGTACGCGTCAGAAGTTTTGTTCGGTCGATCGGACGGTTGGACTCGGTTCGTTTGCTGCAGTGCATTTTTTAAAGTGAGAAATTGCACAAATTCAGACTGAAATTGCAAAATCGGATTAGTCACTTTTGTTTACAACTCTCATTTTCATTTTGCTGCACAAATGTTCAGCACCTATGGAACAATGTTTGTTGTCGACCATTGCATCGACAGAAAAAAATTATGTATATGTGTGAGTTGTTGGTCAGTTGTGCAGTTAACACCAATCATACTCGATGTATGTATCGTTTATTTTTTCTCTCTTCTGATTTCATTCCAGCTCAACGTTACGGCTGCTTACGAGCTGGAGAGAAGAAAAAAAATGTTAATTGAAATGTTTATTAACGGTGCGGCAAAGGGATATTGCAACTTTTTTGACCAGAAAAAACGCCATCTTACGTCGTGCCCGTAAATTATTTTACTGTACATTTCGATGGTAGAGCTTGAACAAAAGTTCAACACTATGCATAAACTTAGAAAGAGCTTGATAAACTTGATGAAATACATATATTTTATGGTAGTTGCAATACCCCTATGCGGTGCGGCTAGTTCGGCCAATAAATCGAATAGCGGCAACAGCAGCAGCGGCGGCGGCGGCGACGGTGCCGATACACATGTGAGATCCGACGTCCACTAGTATATACGTATTATATTCAAGTTATACATTTTATTTCGACGTTTTACGAATTGTAACCGCCAGCTAACAACACAAAATACAACAGTGCCAGTTGGAACAGGTAGAGGAAGAAATCGGTATCTATATCATTACTGTGCTTACAAAGCATTAACTCATAGAGAGCGATGGAATATAGAGAAGAAGAAAAAGGCAGAAAAAAACAGGGAAAAATGAAATATGTGCGTATCATGTAGCTACTTCTATACGTGTTTTGAAGTAAAATTAACGAAATTGAATAAAAATGAAGCGGCAACAAAGAAGCACAGGCATGCAGCCAAACGAACGACAACGCCGTCGATGAAATATAGGACAGAATATAGCAGCGTAACGTTATATATCTTTTCAAGCATTTAAATGGTTCAACGTCATCTTTTTTGTTTTTGCCATTTTCAATGGGCCATCGTTAGCGCAAAAAAAAGCAACTGAAGTATAGCTTCGGAACAAAAACACTGTGTATTCCAACCAAAAAGTTCATCGAATTTTATTATGTCATTGCAGCACAATGATGATGATCATAATGACATGATTCCTTCCTCAACGTCAGCCCATCCAATTGGCTGTGCAGAAGAAATGTAACGTTCAAATTAAATTTCAGTTCCCATGCTAATTAGCACCGAAATAAATTTTTTGCGCCGAACCACACCACATCAGCTAGCTAGTTAAAAACGTGAAATTTGATCTTGTGTTTATGAGTCAAGAGATATTAAAGAAACGAAGAGCAGCAGCAAGAAGCTATAATTTTTCAATATATTCCATGCCAAAAGTATCATTTATTGAGTGATCAAATAAAAAAACACGATACATCTTTGGAACCTGAAACATCTCCAAAAAAAAGTGCGGTGATTCGAACTGGCGAGCATTGAATGTGTTTTGGTTATTTGTTGCGTGTATGCGTGTATGTGTGTGGCTCTAACGGTAATGCCGTGAGCTTGATGATGATACACAATTCGATCGATTGATCAAAAACCGAAATGGAAATCAACAAAAAAAGAAGAAACTTGCACATCAAATACCTCCGAGAAGAATGTTATCTATTGGTTGCGGTGGAATTTCGTTTCAACGGCACCATATCAGAGCCGTCATTAGCTTTTTGTTCGTACGTTGATATCAATTTTGGCAATCAACATGGAACGATGGACGGAGATGGATATGGAAAGAAAGAAGAAAAAAAACAGTAACGATTGACGCAGAGAAGAAGAGAAACACCAATTATGATAGATGAATCAGATGGCGCAAATGCGAATCAAAAGAAGCAGAATAATGGTGATATTTAAACAAAACGGTCAAACGTGTGTAATTTGGTGGATTTCATTGGGCAAATGAAAATCGTTTATTAATTTAAAAGCTTTTTTCTGTTATTATTATTCGTAATGAATGGAATGTGTGTTGGAAAAACACATTTGGAATTCAATGAAATGAAAGAAGAAGGAAAAAAGCAGCCACAACCGAATGAGGTGAATAAAAACAAAAACTGGGATGGAACACTCGCTGAAGTTGCTTGTGTTCTGAGAAAAATGTTCGACGACAAGAAACAAAGCAAAAATTGGCCTTTTATGCTCAACAGGTTAAAAAGAGTTCATTCCATGACATCGACAGAAAAAGTCAAAGCGCGATCGCAATCGCATAAATGCAACATTATTTTATTAAACAGAAAACGAAAAAAAAACAATCAAACTAACTAAAAAGAAAACCAAAACAGAAGAGAGAAAAAAGAGACACCGTTGCACCGATCCAAATGTTGTATTTGTATACAAAGTTGCTAGCTTTCTCAAGGCATAAAGCCGTTGAATGTTTTCGTTGCGATGTTTCCACTCCGTCAACTCCTATATCATCTATTAGCAGCACATTATTGCCATTTCATCAATGCACCGATAAAAAGCAACGGCAGCGGCAACAACAACAACAGCACTACACACATCGATAGATCGATAGCGAGTAAGCCGGAGCTAAAGACAATTGTTCATATAGTATTCGATATGATATTGCGCTGGAACGCTCTTGAGCGCACCCCAGCGCACACATATCTTGCTCGAATTGACTATTTATTAAAATATTCCGAGTTGGAAAACCGATGCAAAAAGCAAGCGCACACGAGCTTTGAAACGGTTCTTGTCGTAGCCGACCAAATGCTAGCTCACACTATGGCGACCGGTTTATTTGTGACTTTAAAATAAGTAATATCTGA